AATGATCACATGACTTACCTTCTGCAATACCATTCATTCTGGCAACGTGAACAGCGTTTTGTAGCAGGCTCACCACACACAGCACACTTGGGAGGTTCAGTGATAAGATTCTCTAACACATCAAGGCTATAGGTCTCAGCAAACCTTAAAATAAATCCAACAAAATGCCAAATGAACATTCCATTCAAGAGGAACAGAAACATGGTTATGGGGGGGGGCGGGGTATACATATAAAGATAAATCTTTGACAGTATGATTACCATTATCCATGCTACTCAAGTTTATTAATCAATCCTGAATCACTGAGTGAACAGTGAACAGTTTTATAACGGTACAGTATACACCAAGTGGTCATATAATGGAACATTTGCCTACAAATAATGGTGCCAGCTCAGATGGAGCTTCTTCTAGTTAGAAATCTGCTAGGAACAGTGAGACCTCCCATCATGATGTGCTGGACTCCGATGATCTGAAAGCAACCAAGAATGTTCATATTTCTGAGTTGCTTCTTATTCCGATTTTATTCCTGACAAGCCTTACCTTCTTGCCTGTTCCCTAATGGCTGCTGCTGATGGGTTGAAGACCGTTTTGACTTGGTGCTTGGCAATGGCTGCCCATTTACCCTCATTGGCTCTCAAGATGCCTTCCCATACTTCAGGAACTTGTTCTAGAACCAGTCCCGTCTTTGAGGAAGGTGGATCCATCATAGATAGGTGGCTGAGATATCGTTGGAGGTCACACAGACTTGGGATCTGGTCTAGGATAACCTCTGAGAGATGGGCCCTCAACTGTCAAATAGAGATCAAATTCTGTGGTAAACTCAACGGCATGTAAGATGCTATACAGCACAATAGTACTTAAAGTACTCCATTGTACATCAGAAATTTCTCTAGAAAACTTAAGGAATGGATCATCAAGTTGGGAAAAGTCCCAAAACATAAACTTAAATAGGGAGTGTACAATTCTACTGAAATTGGAGGATTTAGCCTTATTAGGATTCACAACTCGATTTAAAAATGATATTCAATCAATAACAAATAGAAATTTGAAAGTTGTAACTCCTTCCAGGGTGTGCATCACATTCAGGAGCAGAATCCTGGATAAAATAACAGCCTTGGAAATCATGTGTCAGTTTAATAATGGTATTCATGTAATTCTACACAAAAACAAGGTTCACCTTGAGTATCTGGGCTTTATTGTGACTGTTAAACTCATATTTCTCCTGGCACGTCGGTCCCAACAACAGGTTGAAGAGGGCGATCCAGACCTGTCCTTCAATCTTGGTCAACCTCATCCTTTCCTTGGAGGGTACAGTATGCCACTTACCATCAATAAACTTTTTCAAAACCCCTGTAAGAAAGGTTGCCCTTAAATTAAAATATTTACATTTCATTGATGTAGCACAATTTAACGTTACATATACTGCTTTTAATACTACCCTCCATCAACATTCTGGATGCAACTAAACTTACTTACGATGTTTATTTACAATGCCATTTGCTTCAGACAGTCTCATATAAGATTAATCAAACAAAACTTGTGAATAAATACTTTAGAAGTATTTCTCTCAATATTGTCTTCCTTCAGCATGTCAGATTGACAGATGTTTTCTGGTCAATCGAATGCTAAAATGGAACACACTGGTCATTCCTATCAAATACATGTACACACTCTGTTTTCAACAGAGCTATCCTGGAGTGCCAGGCGTTGTTATTCTCCCAACATGGAAGCATTCGATTTCAAAGTATAACCTGCTTCAATTAACTAAACCTTGAGAATGATCTTTTAATAGGTTGAGAATAGGTACATGTATGTGCCAAATATATGTTTTTATGGCAAATTATAATTACCATGCAATTTAAAATAACAATATGAAATATATTTCTTACAGTGTCAATTTAATATACATGTACATGCACTGTTTCCCTTTGACATAGCAATACAGTGTAACATCTCTCGAATTTATCTCACCATTTCTGTATTTTGTCCATGGAGGGTTTTCTATGAGTTGTACTAGTAAGCAAGGGAAGTCATTTGTGTTCAGAATCCTGCTGGTAACACTCAATGATAATCTGAAAATGGAAAACAGTCAGCAAAACATTATGTAACTATAAAGACACCGAAGACGTATCTAGCCATATAAAAGATGGCTTCCCAAAGATGGTTTCCCAGTTCAAGATACTGCCATAGAAGAGAAGTTTGGCTTGGTTTCGCTGCAGCTTGTTCCCAGCAAATACAGGTTACACTGTAGTTCCAGATTAGTTCAAATTAGTTAAAATGTGATATTACAAAACAGATAATTGATTTTGGCACAAAATAATTTAGCAAGGTCTGCAGTCATCTAAAACAGAGTGGAAAAAGTTTCCTTCTAACCAATGCCAGCCCTACTTACTCAGCAATGTGATCGGTTATGTATCTCAGAATTGACACAGCTTTAATGCTAATGTCAAACTGTAATTTCCTGTCCTGCTTCTTCAACTCCTGTGGAAAAGAAGATTCAGTTCTTATTGAAGAGTAGTTCACCTGTAAACTCTAGAGTAAAACAAAGAACCTTTAGTCAAGGCCTGGAGCACAACTTAAGGGCTCTCAGACTGGTTGCTTGAATCAGACACCATACTGCTCTACACAAACAGCATACAGAGGTCATAATCAAAATTCTGCCTACTCAAAATATTGTAAACTATAATATGATCAAAGTTTCAAATGGTTCTCGAGACACATACACCTCACATAAACGCAAAATGTAACAGAGTTACATCCAGTCCTCTGTAAGTTGAATACTTTGCAATTAGAGGCCAATTATGCGCTAAAAAGAGTCCAATCTACAGGTAACAGCAATCTCAAAGTATCTACCCCTTTGCATTATAAAAAATCTAACATGAGAAATGCATGACTATCAGTCAAAGGGGACTCTCCATCAGTTTTTACAAGCTCTCTAATATTACACACACCTCCATTCCTCTTTCCTCCTCAATGCTGGATGTTTTTGTGGGCGTGGCTTCTTCTTCTTCTTCTCCAGATTCTTGTCTGCAAAGAATCAATGTTATTCAGTCAACCAGTGAATGAACGTGTGACAGTCACTTAAAGATAGGGAGGAATGGTGAGTGGCTTCATCAACCACAGTGGTACCCACAGTGGTACCCACAGTGGTACCCACAGTGGTACCCACAGTGGTACCCACAGTGGTACCCACAGTGGTACCCACAGTGGTACCCACAGTGGTACCCACATGTACCTGGATAAGTAAAGTTTTGGAAGTTTGAACTTATTTGTGAGGCTGTGGACTTCTTAGTGAGTCTAATATAGTTCAATAAGAAAGACTAAGAGTTTGTTGAAAATGTAAAGACAACAGCACTTGGTGGCAGAAAGTATTCTGTCATTCAAAGTTAATATTTACTTGATTTCGAAGCAGAAAGTAATGTAATACAGTCGAACCCCCTTTATAAGACGTCCTTCAGACTTAACAGATGATCTTGTTATTAACAGGAACCTTGTATAATCAGGAAAGAAAAGTAATCAAGAACGAAGGATTTGGGACCTAAAAATTTCCTCACGAACAGGATGTTGTATCAACATTGTTCTTATTAATGAAGTTTGACTGTATTAGTTATTAGTGAGAACAGAGCAAATATTAAAAAAACCTAAGATGTCTTGGACCTGGACAAAGATCAACACATAATAAAAGGAACAAAGCAGAAAACCAAATATCAAAATAGGCAAAGACCAAATTTCCAAAGATACAGGAAACTGAAAACCGCATGTTCAGTGAAAGAAAAGAGAGACAAGATATGAGGGTAGAAGACAGCAACTAAAGGAAGACACTGGAAAAATAATAACTTGTCACCTTGCAATGAGGTAGGTGATCTTCCTGTAGCAGTAATCAATCATATCTAGGATACAATCTGCAGCTGCTTCACAAGGTTCCTAATGACACAAACCAAGACCCAAAGAACATGAGCACTTCAGTCTGAGAATCTTGTGATACAGGATCCGTTTGTTTTACACAGATTTAGATCTTAATCAATGGTCCCTATGCTGGTTAGCTCCATCCCTTAGACAGGTTCTGGTCTCAGTAAACCAATGACAGATTTTTATACTGATCAAGAGTCAGATTCATTTGAAACAAGCGAGCATAAAGATACCAAAACTGTAATGTTATCCTTATCATCCTCAACTTGTTTACAATTCTATAAATTTTCTTTCATAGCCTTTAACCTTTTAGTCTTATGACTAACAAATCATATCATTTCTATCAATCCCTTTTCCAAATACCTTGTGATAGAGTATTGTCTCTAGGAGATTGACAAGTGTAGCTTCATGGTAGAGACTAATGTAGAGTGGAATGGTGGTATGAGGCTCAAAATCCATCCTCTTAATGATAGAGAAGACTTTCTGTTGCCATATCTCAGAGCAGATCAGATCACTGATCAGAACAGGGATCTACATATTAGAGGAGAACCAAAAAAGAAGATTGGTAAAGATGAGAAATGAGCTCTGTGCTCTGCTTCCAACAGGAATATGCATAAGCTTCACATTATTTCAAGCACTCTTCCTATCAATTGAGTAACAACACTTGGATTAGACACATTGGCCTAAATCTTACTTAACAGTTCCTTTTATACTACAATCGAATCTCGTTAATGAGAGCACTGTTAATACAAGATTCTGCTTATAATAAGGAAATTTTTAGGTCCTTATCTTTTGTTTTTCATTGTTTTCATTCCTGATAATACAAAGTTCCTGTTATAACAGGGTCATTTGCCAAGTCCCAAGGACCTCTTATTAATGAGGTTGGATAATAAAGAAGTTGTATACCTAATGCTTATCCTGCTCAAGGGAAATAGTTATCTATATGAATCATACATGCTCTGAAGTATTTTCTATTTGATGTTCCTAGGAGGAAAAGACATTATAAAATCACAAGGATCTGCTGCCAACAAGCTTTCACTTAAGTCACTGGATTCAGTCCAGCAGAACAAGTGGACATTTTGAGCCCAGCATCTTACAAGGATGAAATCAGCAGGTAGCCTGCAAGGTGCATCAATCCAAGCCTGTGTTGATATATTCATGTGTTTTACCTTCTCATGTTGAATCAGTAATTCTTTGATGTATTCATCTTCATTGGCCGAGGCATGAAGAACCGCTTGCATATTGAGCTTTTCCACATATTCATGTTGTTTGGTCCATCTAGAATTTTATTAAATGAATACGTTGTGAGCAATGAATATATTTAGATGCCGCTAAACAGTGCACAAAGTTCTTCCTAACATTTAGAAATCATCAAAGCTGTAAATTTGTAAATTTTCATCTTGAAGTTTCTTAGTAAGGAGAGGGAGCCCAAATGCCTAGCACAGCAGCAGGAGTCCCCCAAGGGCCCTTAGTCAAGTTAATGCCGTTAAGAAGCCTTGGGGTAATGGTCTTTTCAACATGAGAGAAATGCCTTTAAGTTGAAAAAAATGACTGCACTATATGTATTATACTATCCCCTGACATTGGGACCTTGATTACAGAGGTGGTACAGATCTGGGCCCCATTTTTATAGGGCTACAGAAAAACAAGCTGCTCCTGACATCAAGAAATTTCCTGCTGGCAAGAGTCAAAGAGCTGCTTATTATTTGGAAACTTTTTGGAGTTCAGAAACCCTCACACACTTCAAACTGGAAATAGTCTTTCTACTTTCATTGAGAGAGAGATAAAAGGGCATAAAAATGATGAAAAAAAATTCTGAGGTGGAGTGAAGGGGTGTGCAATCTTGTTTTTATTGCACGAGTGGCTCAGCTATGTGACTGGACTGATACTGGCTGGATGCGAGACAGGCTAGCTATAACTGTGAGGCTGTGACAAGTTAAATGCCTCCCTTTTCTGTAGTGGGGGGATTTCTAAAATCATGCAACCTGTCACAGCTACACAGAGTAGTGCAAGTTGTGCATCCTGATGGTATCAGCTTACAAGTAACACAGCAAAGAGGGTCGTGCAATGAAAACAAGATGCCATTCCTCGTCTCCAAAAATGGTAGCATTGAAATGCAGAGCAAGCTTGGTCACTGGCCTGAAGCATGCACAATGTGATAAACACAAAACAAGGAAAACAAAACATGGAAACAAGAGATTGGTAAGTAGAAATGTCAGATTTTTAAAGAAATACTTACTTGGTCTCATGGGCTGATACTACCATATTTGTAACTGCTTTCAAGAGCAACAGGCTAGGTTCCATCTACCCCCAAGAACTGTGGGGTTCAATGTCTGTCGCGCACGACCATTGGGACGGATGTCAAACCCCACAATTCTGGGGGTACCTCACAGCTACTCTCAACAGAAAATTTAATTGAAAAAGAAGAATTTGCATCAAAGAATCATTTACCTCAAAGGCTTGATTCAAAAACAAACAGGCCTAACGTTAGGCCTAGGCATTACGACCCCTTGGCCTTCATTCTCGCAGTCGAACACGCAGAAACTTCTGTACATTTTTTTGCCTAAATTTCACGTTTTATACCATAATTGATATTTTTGTTGGTTTCTAATTCATTGTATAAGCCTGAGCAGGAATCTTTTTTCTTTTTTCTTTTCTCATCAGAAGCTTCGGAGGATTTTTTTTACAGGGAAATGAAGTCCGAAATCTGTTTGCGCGCTTGCGCAGTTGCAGTGCCGTAACGATAGATCATGGGAGATGCAGGGTAAATTTGCCCTGTGTGTTAATGTTAAAAGTCCATAGTGACGTCACGCCGACCGCGAGAATGGCCCTTAAATTTTTGGAGGCCTATTCACCATGTTGAGTCGCAGCCAGGTCAAATGATTGGAGTAGGCATGATATGAATGAGTACCTTGGACTGCCTATATCTTTAATCGGAATGACTTCAAGAGATTCCACGTATGCCTCAGCTTCGGACGATAACAAAATAGAAGCTCCATCAGACGCCATGCTGGAGAAACAACTTTCTGCTGCATGCCAGTTGGCTACCGACGGTGTACATGTACATGTAAGTACCGCACCGCGTACCGTACCAACGCGTGATCATGGAGACGGACATTTATTATCCATCGAGTACGGGTAGCCAGTACTACTGTTATATGAATATAATAGATCAGAGCTCCCTTGGATTTTTATGTCAATATACTACAGAATACATCGGCTAAAAGATTAATCCAAAATGGCGGCGCACGTGGAAGAGAAAGACGTGAATTGCAAACGTTCCAAAATTGACGATACTCCGGATCAGACTTCTGTGCAGTCAACTAAAAAAATAAAAAAGGACAAAGTTGAAAGTGAGGATAGAGTATCCAAAACACTGGAGAGTTTTGATGGTTTTGAGGTGTTAAAAATCCTCTATAAAAATCCACAAAATAAATCGGTGTTTCTCTACGGGAAATTTCAAGGCAATGATGATAATGCAGTTGTGTTACTGGAAAAAACGCCTTTTCCCGTGTCAGCGCTGTCTACACTTTTATCTGCCGATGTTTCATTGAAACCGCTCTTACAGAACGATATATACAGTGTGTATGATGGACTCCCCAAGCAGGATCTGGGCTTCAGTGGTGAGATCATTTATTCATGGTTTAGCTGACATTTATACCGATGTGAAGTTAGTTCCTCGTTCCTCGTTTGACGTTCGACATTCAACGTTGAACAAG